TGATGTGTATTGACCACCAGGGGGCAAATGCTTAATGCAGGAGCTGCCCCTTGGTGGTCAGTGCACTCTTGGAGACCTCAGTGGAGTGGCAGTGAGCCTACTGAGTGGTGGTGGTGGCAGGCGCAGTAGGGCAGGGATGAGCAGGAGCCGCAGGCAGGAGCAGCAGGAGGCATTGGACTACCAGTTTTGGCCAGATCCCCACAGGCTATACTGAGGGACCCCACTGGTGCACAAATTCGTGCACCAGGCCTCTAGTTATTAATAATAGGAAAAGATCGAAGGGAGGACAGACTTTTTAGGCATGTCATCTAGGTAGCTTCACCAGGAAGCTGTAATTTCACACTCCCCAGGGCACCACTGGCCATTCCCTGCAGGTCACTGATGGAAGGCGTTTAACAAAGGGGGATAGACACATGCACAGTGAAGTTGGTATTTTCTGTCAATCAAACCTGGAAACAAAGATCTTTGGCCAGAGTGGGTGGAGCTAATGCAAGCCCATGAAAATTTGGGGATACATAATCTCCCAAACAAAAAAAAAGCACTATTGGCTCTTGGCTCTCTCTTGGCTTATGGGGCTCTTGGCTTTTACTTGTGGGGCCCTTTTATTCCTGCTTTGTTGCATTTGCCTGTGTTCCCTTCATAGCCATGTGGCCCTGTGGACCCCATATGCAATGGACTGATGGATTGCAACTGGGAACACAAAGTAAGCTAGCTTAATGCTAGATTGGATTGCTCTAATATGGAATGGAAGCTCTGGACACTAGCTCTGATTTTAGACCTGCTAAAGACAAAATGGGACTTCCTTGAGGGGCCTGAGGGAAATGGGACCTTGGAAACTCAGGGGTTTGATTCCACAGAAGTAAAGCTTTCTACAGTATCTCATCCTCCCATGTGAGTCTCAGGAAATTCGTTTTCTCGGGACACTGCAAGAAGCCCACTCCCACGAGCAACAGGTGGGGATGAGGAGGACTTCTCCCCACCAATAACAAAAAAACATTATTTTTCAAGGTGGAAATAAAATTTATTAAATAAATAAATTTCCTTTGAATACCATGAATATATCTTAAGCAGATGCCATAGTCCAACCAGACTGCTATAACAAAATGCTTTAGACCAGGTGGCTTATAAACAACAGAAATTTGTTCCTCCCAGTTCTGGAGGCTGGGAAGTTCAAGATCAAGGATCCAACAAATTGAGTGTCTGCTCAGGGTCCACTTTCTGGTTTACAGACACCTGTCTTTTTGCTGTGTCCTCACATGATGGAATGGTTGAGGGAGCTCTCTGGAGCTTCTTTGATAAGGGCATGATACTATTTATGAAGGTTTTAATATCATCACCTATTCATACCCTAAAATCCCACCTCCAAATACTATTACATTGGAATCTGGTTTCAACAGTTGAATTTTGAGGGCAGGGGGAAACAAGCATTCAGTCTGTAGCAACAGATAATTTTAAAACATGAGTACACCTTAGAAAGAATAATTCAAGATTAGCAATAGTGATATAAATTTGAAGTAAAATAAAATAATGATATATGAAATATATACTTATAAATACATGCAAACACACAATATCTACAAAAACACAAACTGCACACCAAATTCCAGATAGTTGTGTCTGGATAAATAAATAAGGACAAATATTTATTAAATATTTGTCTGGATTGGCAAATAATTTAATACTTTAAACAAAGAGTTACACAGCAAATTATAACCAGTGCATAATTTAGCTTATTGTTAGTCTTATATTACAAATTGGAGAGAATTTGTTCAAGAAAATTTACTGAATCTTATTAAACACAGTGGGAATCTGCAGCATTTTAGCCAAGGGATGCTCTCAGCTTCCACATTAGATTATCAGGGAGATAGACTTTCTGAAAAACTAGAAAACTTGAAGCAGAAATACTGGCTTACAAAAATTCAGGCATTGACTGCACTTTTCACATGAGGGTAAAGGTATAGCCTTGTTTTTAATTTGATTCAAGAGCCAGGAGATCATGGTGTTTATAAATATCTTCTTAAACTAAAGTAAAATCTCTTTTCTCAGACTGTGATATAATTGTCTTTATTTAACCTAAATTTTAAAGGTATTGCCACCTAAACAAAATCCTAATTGGAACTTTTTTCCTTCCAAAGTGTCAAATAGGTTATTTCATTGTTTCATACCCTTTGCATTATATGTTGAAAAGTCAGTGACCTGATTTGAATGCTAATCTCTTCCAATAACATCCTCACAAACACAAGTTGATGCATAAAATGTTACTTATTTACAGTTCTTTTTTAAAAAATTAAATTTATTGGAGTTATATCCTCCTATATAATAAATGACTAATATGCAAATTGTCCCCTCTATCAGGAGTTCAACCGGGAGTTCAAGCAGAGGGCTGACTGGCCAACTGCCCACGGCCCCTCCCCATGGCCCTGCCCAATGGGCCCTGATTGGGGCGGGCTGGCAGGACCCCACCTGTGCACAAATTCATGCACCGGGTCTCTACTTGGTTAATAAAATTATATAGATTTTAGGTGTACATTTTTATAATACATTATCTATATATTGTACTGTGTGTTCACCACCATAAGTCAAGTCTCCTTCCATCACCATTTATTCCCCCTATACCTTTTTCTTTCTTCCCCAACCCTCCTTTTCCTCTGGTAATCACCATAATTATATAGGTTTCAGGTGTACATGTCTATAATACACCATCTATATATTGTATTGTGTGTTCACCACCCCAAGTCAAGTCTCCTTCCATCACCATTTATCCCCCCTATATCCTTTTCTTTCTTCTCCCACACCCCCCCCTTTCCCTCTGGTAATCACTGTGTTGTTGTCTATGTATGAGTTGGTTTCTTTTGTTGTTGTTTAATCCCTTCACCTTTTCACTCAGTTCTGCAACACCCCAACCCTTTGACAGCTATTCTCTATCTATAAGTAAGTTGACATAAAATTAAATAACCATCACAGCCTATGTCATGAATCAAAAATCTATTATTTTGTAATTTTATCAAATGTTAGTCTCAGTTTAAAAATGAGAGGTTTAAGTCCATTTATACAGCTGATTATGGTACATTGGAATTATTGCAAAATTTTATGATACATTTATTTGTTTCTTAGCTTATCACTTTTTCTACATCTAGATATTCTGTTGCTTGAGATTGCCAGGGCCAGCCTGACAAGGTTGAGCCAGGCTGAGGCAAGGAGGTGGGAATTGAGAAAAGAAAGAAAGACAGGAAAGCGGGATCGGGAGGACTCCAGTTCTCGAGGAACTGAAGTGAAGTTTATTAGCCACACTATCTTATTTATACACAACACACTGAATAGGAGGTCTGTCAAGAGGAATGTATTCTTTGTTCCTCTTAATCTCTAAGGGAGAGACACAGCAGAAGGACAAGTTCTCAGTACAGCATATCTCAGTAAATAGTTACAGACTTCTTGGTAAGCCATGAAAGGCTGTTCTCATTCTACAAAGGTTGCTCTCATTCTACTGATAATCGCCATCCAAACAAGTCTGGGAAAACTGTGTGGGTAAGGGTCCCAGCCTTGCTAGCCCCTTCAGGTGCAAGGACCTTGCCAGCTTACATCTGGTCCCCAACATCAGATCTTAATTATGGTGTGATTACATTTGGCCTAGGTACTTTCTCATGTAAATTTACAAGGAAAATACATATGTAATAAATATACTGAAAGACTACAAAATATCTGAAATTTTTTATTTGCTCTCACA